ACCTTTCTAAAGTTAGAGTTCATGGTGTAGTTGGTGACTCTGTGCGCGGAGGTGTTGACGCCTACCGTAGTGGCCATCAGGCCTGAGACGACAAAAAAAATCTTTCTTCGCGTCTGATCGTAGAACAGGGTCAGCGGTCATCCAAATTGTGCCTGACATAGAATAGGTAGCACCATAATATGAAAACAGTGGAGATGGACATCAGCATTCTGCTGCCTCGCTTATCTCTACTTGACTCCTTACTTAAACTCATCCAGCGTTGGTCTGGCGCCATTTGGACATTTCGTTTAGTGCTATCGCTAACGAGATTATGCATAGATGACTGATACCAGAACGGCCATCAAGTGCAAGATATTGTTCACGTAAAATGTTACTGTCCAACTCTTCCATCTGTGGCTGTGATGTCAAACTGTAATCTTATACTTCTTTTGTTGCCTGTTAGTGAATGGTTTCACACCAATCTGATCACTGTCAAATTAGGTACATTACTAGATAGTAGCAGTAGCATATATATATAGCATAGAAAAAACCATAGTACTAGTTGTCCGGCTCGTGTTAGAATATTAATAAGCTTTAATTTCATGGAGCAAACAACTTTCCAAAGTAATAAAAAGAGTAACCCAGCAAGTTAGTCGAGAAAAAAGAGTTTCGAGCGAGCCATAAAAACAAAAGGGTGTGACACTCGGGCAAACAATAAATGTAAATTTTGCAAGGTTCGAATATGATACTGATTGAACAAAAATTATACAATAATCCAAAAAGTCAAATCTGAAACAGCTAATCCCAAAAGGCTTATATTGGCTTATACACCGACTGGCTCAGAGACACTTTGTTTTAGAACAACAACGATGTTGAGAATGTTGTTTAAGAATGTTCTAATAAGATGTTGGCTGCCTGGCCAATAATTATGTAGTTGACAACTGTGAAATCGTCGACCAGCCTCGAATGTTTGTCTTTTGCTTCTGAAACTGAAATACTCGTCAGTGAAAACTTAGTATTCCTGTCTCTCATTTCAGAGGGTGCGATATCCAAACCCATTCTTTGATAGCCCCAACGATCTGTATGGTGAAAAAGAAATACAATATTGAGGAGTCTTTTTGTGTTTGTGCCTTGCCTCACCTGTGTTTGTTTTTGATAAGAGACCAAAGCCAGATGCTATAGTCCTTTCCTGGTTTCTATAGAAAAGCCAGAAAGAACCCCCCCCCCCCCAAAAAAAAAGGCGTCTATCAACTGATTGGACTAAAAGTACTTGGAGAAAACGGAATTTGACTTGCCAAATGGAATTCTGCAGAATGCTAGCTTTAATTCTTTAGAACTCATCGCTCTTGCAAATATAACAACTTCCATATAATGAACAACTTTATTTCTTTCTTTTATAGTAAATACTTTTCCAGAATTTCTTTACCTTAATAAATTATTCCCGCTGTCTGAACACAGCTACTTTCCAAATTCTTAAAAGTACAAATTGACTGAATCGAATTAATCATTTTGAAGTTTACATCACCTTGCAGATCTGTTACTTTCCAGTCAGTCTTGTAAACTGTTTTCCCGCCAGTTTTATGACAATGTAGAGTATTAGTTATAAGTATACGTTCTCTTCCCAGCTCTGTTTTTCTTCCCTCAGTTGGTTTTAGTGCAAAAAGCATTGCTTTCCCCTGTTCAGTAACGAAAGAACCTTTTATTCTCCACTGACTGAAATGTTCCAGACTGACCGCCTTGTCCCGATTGTTGGTCAGTCTAAACTGCAAGTACCGAATCCATATTATCATTCTCACATATTTGAAATCACTTGGCACGGAGTTCCACGTTATCCTTCCAATGTTTCCAAATTTCTGTTACAACATTTCGGCGGAAGCTGAGAAAGACGAGGCACCCTCGGGAGCTGGAAGAACTGGCGAGAAAACACAAAACTGTCGTAGGCCAAACCTTTTCAGGATACGTCGAACTGAAACCAGTAAGACACTTGAGTTATCAAACCAATTTGCCTGAAACGTAAGTGTATATTACACATTCTCATTCACGATCACAGCGTATCGTCTCTGCATTTCATCCATAAATCACTTTCACTTAAAAGGTCAAAAAGTTCGCCTTGTTTAAAACATTAGCTCATTGTTTATATGGATGTGTGTGTAAATAAATTATATTAAACTCCGTTTGGGCAAACAGCTACTCCCTCCTCCCTTTTTTTCCTTTTCCAATACTCTAAGGGGGGGGGGATTCCTTCAATTCTAGTCTACCGTTACCTTGGATGGGTTGATGAGAGAATTATGTTGAATATCGTTTGTTACAAAGGAGAGGGGTTTGGGTTGTTTTTTTAATTCTTTGAATTAACACGATTAAAGACAATTCCAAGAACTGGGAATTTAAAGAACTTTTTAAAATATTTACCAGTACCAGTACTCGAATTTCAAGACCTCAGTGTATACACATCATGTACAGATGATCGGAAAATTGATAACAATACATTTAACCTGTTGTTCAATTTTACCGCCACAAGAAAAATCAGAATTTCAATTTTAGTCGGAGTGAGAAGAGATTCTCTTGTCCTTCCGGTCTGAACTCTAGCTCTAACCCCCATCCTTAAAATTACAAAAAGCTGCATGTTTTCATATTATGTAATTGTCTCCGACCGGTATCTGCGGTGTAATGGTTAAGCTCTTCGCCTTGCGCATGGAAGACGCGCGTACAAATTCCGGCTTGAGAGAGACGTTTATTCTACTGTATAATAGAAGCATGCAGTAAGAAGTAAGTCCGCCTTTTCAACTCTACTACTTCATGTACTATGTAGTTTGCCAAAATAACATTCGTGTCGCGTCGGCTGGCACTTACACATAAGTTCAAAGCAGCCACCAAACGAATTAATTAATGTGAAATGTAAAAATGTTGTTCCGGTGGCAACGTCAACAAACATCGGCAGTCGATGGGCGTTGACCGGCGTCTGTAGTATAGCAGTTAGGCTTTCACTGTTGCACGCGAAAGACGGTAAGTTCGATTCCCGAGTGTGTATAATTTTAGTCAAGAATGTCTGCCAGTCTGCCTGGACGTTGTATACCTCTCAGCCCCGGTTGTCCTTGACTGGCCAGCCTCCTAAATGATTTAAGGTGTGTAAAACTTCTACAATATATAACACTTACTTTTCTTTTTTGCAGGACGTTGAAAAGAAATGAAACGTAACCAAAAACGACAAAACAAAAACTAAACGGTGTGCTTGATTTCAGTTTTAGTAAGGTTTTACGGCGCTCGCAACTGCATATAAGGTCATATGAGCGCCAAGAGGTGAATGTCAACCGAGAAGTCCAAACGGGGAATCAGGCTTACTCTGCTCACCTCTCTAGCCCTAACAACAGCACAAAGTCTGCTGTGACTATCAAGGCACCCCAGATATAACAGTTCACAAGAGAATGACAAACATACAAAAGAAGTAGAGGACGATAATAAGGATAAGGAAAGAAGATGCAGCAGTTCCCCCTATGTTGTTCAGGCACAGTATGAGCATGACATTGATCAATCAGCCCATTTACAATTCTACTGCGCATAAAAGGACATGTTAATATCTCCCCTTTGGGAATGGCCTAAAGACACTTCAGTCAGTAACACTGCCCAAAAGTTGTGCGCGCGCGTGAGTGCGTGTCTGTCTGCATGTCTGTCTGTCTGTCTGTCTGTCTCTATGAGTCTGTGTGTCTGTGTGAGTGAGAGAGAAAGAGAGAGAAAAGAGAGAGAGAGAGAGAGAGAGAGAGAGAGAGAGAGAGAGAGAGAGAGAGGGGGGGGTAGGGGTTAGAGGTGGGGAGGGAGGGGGTCCCTCAATGATGTGTGCATGTGTCTATAGTATGTATCTATGCGTTTAGTACAGCCTTCATTCGATCTGCATGTACTTTGCGGCAATAATAGAGGTCCCTGTACCGAGCTACAACTGGGGGCTCACGTGGCCAAGAGGTTAAGGTGTTGGCCTCTCATTCAAAGGTCCCGGGTTCGAATCGGGTAGCGACCGAAAAATTGTCTCCTTTCACCTCCTTTCCTGCTCTCTAGCAATATTCTGTCATCTGCTTTCGTCTCCTCTTTCTTCCCCCACCCCCTCACCTCCTTTGCCCCCTCCTCTGGGCTCCTGACTCTTTCTGCAGCCTTTCTACTGCTACTCCTTGACTCCTTCTTACAGCTGTCTTTCTGCCACACCCCTGATCTTTTGGTAGGAAAGATCTACATCTAGCCTTCTCGGACAATGGCGAAAAATCTCGGAGGGCCGGTGTGCAAGTTGCGCACGTTAAAGATCCCTTGGTGGTCTAGAATCGAAGAGTAGGCTTCGGCCGCCACCCGGGCAAAATTCAAAATTTCCTACCAACTAAAAAGTATTAAGTGTGTCCCGCGCGCTCATATGACCTTATGCAGTTGCGAGCGCCGTAAAACACTTACCAAAAAAAACCCAAAAAAAACAAGAGCTGCTACTACATACATTATACAACAAAAACTTGAGGTAACTAGACCATCAGATAAAAAATATATATATAATTACGTCTGCGTCACGCAGGAATAGGAGCTCAATTACGAGTATCCATGTCCATGGGGTATGTCATCGGCTCTTTTAAATACGACATATTTTGGGGGGTTTTTAGCACAGCGTAAACAACCAAGGTTCAAATCAGTAACAATTTAAAGTCGGCTGTACTATGTCAAGAGGTATTTTGGTTCAAGCAAAGTAGAGCTATGGTAACGGCAATTTCGTGCAGAGACAGGATAAGACAGGCAGAAAGTAACAGCACTTGGAGAGAAAAAGCAGAATCTACTAGTGTCGCCTTCCAATTTCAGCTACCTGCTATTTTGTGTGAAAAAGACGCCCATACATTAGTAACACTGAGCTAAAAAGGTAAATCTAGGAGAAATTATACTACGTGTATAATGAGTGTGAGAGAGGCCATAAACAACCCTCAACCCAAACTTGTACAAAAACAAACAAAGAATAAATCAAATCTACTAAGCAAACAGAGTACAAACCATGAAAAAGTTCAAACTTTGAAACATCACAGTTTAATGCGTTATGGTGTCATGTTTATACAGAGGAATATCTTATCGGACTGTGTAAGGACTTAGAGGTATCCCACGACACAAACATCAGTCACTCTTCAACCAATCAAATCCTCCAATCGCCGTTGTTCGCATGCACTCAGATTCTCTTCTTTTTTTTTTGTTTGTTTGTCGTACCCTTTTATTAGAAAAATTGTACAAAGTTCAACAATGACAACAAAGATTCGGCGGGAAATGTCCAAAAATGAGTATAAAAAGAGTAAAGTAAGAAATAGTACAATGCATTACATAAATTGAGAGATATAAATATGAATTTATGAATGAAAACAGTTTGTGACTTCGTTTTGCTAAACGGCATTGCGTTTAATTCCGAATTGGAGTAAACAGTTTTGTGACGTAAGGAGACTGCAGCAGCTTTGAATCTTCAAGCGGCCACTCTAAAGAATGTTTTGTGGAGATCATAATAGAAGAGAATTGTTTTGTCGTTAAAACAAACTGTGGCTGTAGCACCAATCAGTCAATGTTGAGCAAGTCCTTATTTTGCTTTTTGTTATTATGGGCTTCACATGCATAAATCTAAATGTGTATGTTGAAAGGATACAAACAATAACCTTTGTTTGGTTAACATTGTATGTCAGAATGGCACGGTTGTTTAGTTTCTTCACCGTTAATACATGTTAATACGCGTAAAAGCCAGATGCACAGTCTTCACCAACGTTTTGCTTTCTGCAGACAAAACGTTGCAAGTTACACATGCCAAAGTACAGCCAAAGACAATTTTAAAAGAGATTATCCCATTTCTCCAGATCCATTTAGAATATTAAGTTAGCTTTTGTCTCAGAGTCTTAATTTACAATTAAATCTAAATTCTATCCAGATTTAAACAACAGGATGGCAACTTGTCCCAAGTAGAAATAGATGAAGTTTTTGGTCTCGTGTGTGACATAGCTGCCGAAGTTCCTTCCCACGATGCAGTGCCAGGTTGGGTTGTACTTCTTGTCGAACTCTTTCTTAATGAAGGCAGCAATGTCCTAGAGAGAAAACAAAGAAACCATACACACTATAATTTACTGAACGTTAAGGACTGATCAACAAAATATTAAGTAATTATGTTAGAATAGAATAGCTTTGAATACGTTTGAAAGGGCCCTTTTTAAAAAGTGGACTATTTCTGATGCAAGTTACTAGAGACTAAGTTGATCCTCAAGGTTCAGGGGTGGGCC